TTTATTTATTTATTTATTTATTTATTTATTTATTTAGTGAAACTGGGGATTGAACTCAGGCCCTTGCACTTGCCAGGCAAACGCTTATTCTACTGAGCCATCTCCCGAGCCCGAGGTGAGTATATAGATTGCATACTGAAACATAATCTACTGAAATTTCACAATATTTTTTCTTTTTTTTTGTACCAGCAATCAAACTAAGAACCTTTCACTTGCCAGGCAGACCCTGTACCACAGAGCTATATTCCTAGCCCAATTTCACAGTACTAAATCCAATGAGATTTTAAAGTCAGACAAAAAGAGATCATATGCAGGAATTATGGAGAGCAGCCAGGCATAGTGGTGCACACCTGTAATTCTAGCACTTGGGAGGCTAAGGCAGGAGGATTGCTGTGAGTTTGAGGACAGCCTGAACTGCACAGAGAAATCCTGTCTAAAAACAACAGCTAAAGAATAACAGCAGTAAATTTTTTTTTATGTATTTAGTACAGGGTCTACAGAGTCTTATTACATAGATTGGGCTCATAGTGATCCTCCTGTTTTCAGCCTCCCAAGCACTGGGATTACAGGTGTGCACCACCATGCCCAGTCTCAATGAGCCCTGGGGGTGGGGCCAGCACAGAAAGCTGGGGTTCTAACCTAAGTAGTAGACTTCTTAATGGCCTAGTGGAAAACAGAAGACAGTAGAATAGTATCTTATGAGGGAAATGAAAAAGCCCTTAGAATTCAAGACCTAGTGACATTACTTAGAGTGAGAGAGAAATAGACATTTTCAGAGAAGTGTGTAGCACCCACCACCACCAAATTGGCTTTGAATCACCCTCTGAAGAATGTATTTCAGGAAGAAGAGATAAATGATCACAGAAGGAAGGGCTGTGAAATAAAAAGGAAAAGTGAGCTGACAAACTGGTGAGTATAGAAATTCATGCAGAGTTTCTGGGAAAAAAGAATAAAGATCGATTTCTGTCTTTTCAGAAAGACCCAGAATGGGAGCATTCTTATGCCATCAGCCTGTCGGTTGTACCAGTGGAAGTGTAGACATTACGTAAAAGGATTTCTAAAGTCCTTTGGTTTTGCTAAAGAAGCTAAGGTACACTCTATTACTAGGTGATGTGACATTAAAAACTCATGATATAATTTCAAAGCACAAAGGATTAGCTTTAATTTTGAAGCTAATAAATGCAATACATGGAAAAATATATGAAAATAAATAAAAATCCTCAGTCAACCTGGTAAGACCAAGAGAGAAGAAAAAGAGGCATTCAAGAGCCATACAAGAGAATAAAAGCTATGGAAAAAGAGAGAAAATACAACTTTTATATTTTTAGAAAAAGATGGTAAGCTGATAAAAGCAAGTTCAAAGGTATTATTAGGGGCTGGAGAGATGGCTCAGTGGTCTAAGGCACCTACTTAGAACAAGCTTGGCAAAGCATCAGGGACCGTGGTTCAATCCCCCAGCACCACATGCCAGCCAGCCCCGCCCCCTGGTGGGCTGAGCTGGCCACACACACACACCACACACTCTCTCTCTCTCTCTCTCTCTCTCTCTCTCTCAAATAAAAAAAAAAGGTATTATTAATTTCAAAACAGTAAGTAAACTGAATTTGCAATTTGAAGTTTAAATTTGAGGGGAAAAGACTAAAGAAGCTTAATGCTGTGGCGTTTCCAAGAAATATTCTTGTAAGAGTAGAAAATTGAAAGAGGATGGAAGAATATGTATCTGTCAAGTGCAATGACAAAGAAAGTTGTAATAGTCTTATTATTGCCAAATGAAGGTAGACTTTCACAACAAAATACATTATTAGCAAAAGAGGGGTCACTTCTTAATGATAGATGCAATTTACCAGGGAGATTTAATATTTCAAATGAGTATGTACTTAATAAAAGAGACTCAACATGTATAAAACAAAGCTGGCCTAGACTGAAGGACTAACAGAGAATTCATCCTCATATTAGAGATTCCAACACATTATTGGTAGATTAAGCAGACTGAAACACGGCAATGCAGATGCATAACAAAATTAGCATGCTTGATTTATGGAACAGATATAAAATTCCAATTTGGTGATTTTTGCCTTCAAAGTATTAAGAATGATTGGATCACATTGTCTTACACGGCAATCAACATAGAAAACAACAGCCAGAAGAGTAAATGGAAAAACATTTAGAAATTAGATCACACCTCTATATAGCTTCATGCACCAAAATGAAACAAGAATGCAAACGAAAAAGACAATCTTCAGCTGGGAATTATCCAATCCAGGCTTGTATCCCATTGACCCAGGGGACCATGTGGGAGTGGTGGCAGGAGGATCTGTCAATGGCTTTGGAAAGTTCTATGGAAGGACTGACTGATCCCGAAGTAATTAAGGCAAAAGTAACCAAATCTGTTTAAGTACCATGGCTGAGTGGACCACTGGAGTGCCAAGCAACAAAATTTCTAACCTGGAGGAGATTTCATTTCTCCTTATTGATCAGTCAAATGGCTTAAATGCTCTTTTTTTTTTTTTTTTTTTAGCTTGCTTCTTTCCTAATTAAGTGTAATAACATTGCACCTTGCAAACCTCAGGCTCAATGAGCACCTATCGTTTTGTACCCTAACTTTTCAGCATATTTTTCTGGATACATTCCAGCCTGAATTCTGCATTCCAGTGCCCTGAAGTTCTAGGTTACATAAATTAATCTAATTTCTTTTCAAGTTAATAAATTAGAGAATAAATCTATAGATGATAAAGAATCTTGCATCTATTCCCCCTTCATGTAATTAATTATACTGATTGAAATGATAGTGGAAACAAAGTTAACCTTGTGCTTCTCAAATACCAGTGATTAAATGGAGCACACGTCTGCATAAGCCAAGGTGCTGATTAGTTCAGACTTTCTGTGGATTCAGCATCAGTATCAACTCCTTACCCCTTAATTGGACTTGCTAAGGTTGTCAGATGGGACAACCTTGCCCTGCTCGTCCCTGGTACCTCCCTCCTCTCTCCCACCCTGTGCTCTCCATCTGCTCTCCTCCTTCTTTGTGGTACTGGGGATTCAACCAAGGGTACTCTACCACTGAACTACATCCCCAGCCTTTTTTGTTCACTCGATAGAGTCTCCCTAAGTTGCACAGGCAGGGCTGCAACTTGTGACCCTCCTCCTTTAGTCTCTGCAATACCTGGGATTCCAGGCGTGCACCACTGTGCCCAGCTCCTGCCTGGCTTTCTTTTCCAAATTTTGAAGTACAGTTATATTTACTAGAAATTTAAGCTGTGTTGGATGTCCCTGTCAGAGGTTTAATATCTCATATTTACTCCTCAGTCTAGAATAAAATATATGCAAACAAATTATATTTATAACCAAATCTTGCAACCAAATCAAGGTCAATACACTTTTGCTATACATTTCCTGTTCTAATAAGCAAAGTAAAGAGACATCTTGGTCCTTCTAAGCATCAAGTTTCAAAAATGAATTGATTTGGTCCGTTGTGGTCCGAGGCCCCGCTCGGAGACGCGGCGCGGCGCGGCCAGGGGCGGCTTCCGCGGAAAGGCGCGTCCTCCCGGGGCCGCGGGCGCGGAGGCCGCAGCGAGGGAAGGCCGGGAGGGCGCTCGCCCCGCAGCCTCGACCGTGGTTCAATCCCCCAGCACCACATGCCAGCCAGCCCCG